ATTAATCAACTACGTGCAAAATCCTTATGGAATACAGATGATAAACAGATGAAGGGTGCTCGAGTTAACTGGTCTACCAATTATTTTCCAAAATCTGAAGAGGACTGGGATTCAAGGATATTCGAAGTTGGAATTAAGCATGTCTAATCCAATTGATTAGAAGGTTTTTAATTTGGATTGCCTCGTAGGTTGACGCATATGTTTTAAAGGGCATGACCTTTTGGTAGATTGGTAGTTCACAAAGTAGTGGATGAATGCAGAGGAATTAACTGCATTTGAGGTATAGGGCAGCTTCAATTCAGAGATTCCGTGATCGTCCGAAGTTATATATAACTATGATATAGGGTAAAATCAAGGTTAAGAGGGATAAGGTTTTGTGGGATAGGTTTATTTGGCACAAATTAAGAAAAAAAAAGTAAGAAGAGGAAAATGAGAGAGAACGAAATAAATTGTTGGGAACGGATCACGTAATTTGATTCCACTTAAGCACATTGTGGCGGGAAAATGTACACTCTTCCTTGCCACTACTTTTCTCATTTATAAACCCCAACTCTTATTCCTACCATAATTTCTATATTCCCAAAGTTGGTCCTTTGATCATTCTCGCTTAAAACGTGGATTGAATTTTAGAGTTTATGCTAGTCTAGAATTTTTCATATGCATGCGGCCTGATTTCAGTCAAATATTGGTTGATTTTGTTGGTGCTGTTGTGCTTCTTTGAGTTATGTATTCTGTTGGGCAATATTTAATTTGTTACTTTACTTTTTCAATCTACAGGAAGCAGATTTGGTTTTGGGTGGAGATGAAGGTGATGAGCGTACCTATTCTAAAGGTTATATGAAGAGACAGGCAATTTTCTCATGCCTGACATGCACTCCTAATGGGAATGCTGGAATATGCACTGCTTGTTGCTGGTTTCACGAGGAGCATATCTGCCAAAGCCCTCCTGACGAGGTTGGTAAGCTGGGTGCATTGTCCTACGGTTTCATATAACGCTTTTTCTTCATCAGTCTTTGCCTGATGTCATTTACAATGACACAATGTTTTTGTTTTGCGGTTAAAACTTAAAATCATTGGCGTTTATGGAGTTGCTCTTTAGGCCTGCATCCTCTTATACAAATATGATCATTTGCAATGTACTAGTTTGCTGTATCTTTAGCTGGTTAAACTTTCTGTTGTTTTCTGCTGTGCCCTCCTAGGGGGTTCTGTTTCAATTCAGCATTATGATGCCAGTGGCATTGTTCTGGCCTGAACTTCTCTCTTTAAACATGAATATCAGTTCTAGTCATTTGAAAACACAGTGGTCACTGCAGTGAACTTATCACTATTTATCAGTTTAAAGGATTTTTCCATTGGCGCATTTACTTGGTTATTTTAGTTCAAGCTGTGCAGTGTAAATAGTTTGAGCTTAGATATTGCAAAAGAAGAGGAAGAAATGTGAAAAAGACTTAGTTTCTTTTGCTCTAATCTGCGTTATTGATACCGGGTTATAGAATATGATCTGAGAATACTTGTATGACAGGTTCCTAGAGATGAGGAAGGGGATCCTCAATATGAGGATTTTATATGCAAGGCATGCTCTGCAGTTTGTTCTTTTCTGACTTTATATCCTTAGACCATATGGGCAGCGGGGGGACACCGTGTTCCTCCTTTTGCCACTAGCAAGGATAAAAGTGTAATGGAAGACATCCCTCCTATAGATGATGGAGCTGGGCAACTTGAAAATGGTGTGTACCCTGATTCTTCCCAGAAGGATAATATGGGAGCTGATGCCAAACGTGAATCTGTATCTGATGTCAAGAAGTTTGTTATTGGAGAAAGCTCCCAGAATGATGGCATCTCAAGTCCGTTCGGAAGTATTGCCGGTACACCTGCTACTTGTATTGTTGGGGTAGACTGGTTGGCTGCATCAGTCGATTTGGGAAGTAAACCTCTTTTCCTTTCTAAAAACTGGAGAGATGCCCTCTGCAGATGTGACAAGTGCTTGGATATGTACAAGGAGAAGCATATCAGTTATCTACTTGACAAGGAGGATTCAATAGCAGAGTATGAAAAGAATGCAAAGCAGAAGAGGGAAGAAAAGTTGCAGCGAAGAGAGGGTGCTGAACTAAATTTCTTTAACAATCTTGGTCATGTAGAAAAAATGGAGATTCTGAACGGCATTGCAGACTTCACGGATGAGTTCCGTTCCTTCCTGGTATGTCTTTGAATTTTGTACCTTTCTTTATTTGCTAACCTTAATTTTTTCGTGTTCGTGCTTCTTTTAAATTCTTCGTTTTTCATTTTTTCCACAAGCAAATTTACTGCCACTAAGATTTATCTATACCATTAGGGATCAGTCGATCCTTCGAAGGCAATAACAGAAGCTGATGTCAACCAGATTTTCGAGAACCTTAAAAACAAAAAGGCGGCGAATGTTGTAGGCTTTCTGTTTATAAGTTGGATATGCAGTTGATGAAGAAAATAAATGATATGCAAACATTTAGGTTGGCTTCAAGTTAGAATGCTGTAAGGTTACTTATGAACCAATTTGTGGTTGTTATTAATGACTTTTATTATGTAATTGTGTTTCTCTATTTGCTCAAGTTCTGCTATTGGTTCATGATACTTGTGCTTCATTTAACTTTCACACATGCATAATATCTATCTATAATATATACATGTACACACATGCAAAATATCTATCTATATATACAGATACACATATATGCAGAATATCTATCTATTTATCTATATACACATGTAGAATATCTATCTATCAATATATACATGTAGACATACGTGCAAAATATTTATCAATACATATATTAGATAGTTATACTAATAAATTTTCTCTAATAAAGACTTGATAAAATAATAGTAGTAATAGTAGAGAAGTTTAGGATGAAAAAATTCGATTTGACTCGATATAATATTATAATCATTCCTTATAAGGGATAATTACAATAAAATCTATCAATACAAATATTAGATAGTTCTACTATAAATTATCTCTAATAAAGATTGATAAAATAATAGTAGTAATACTAACAGTAGAGAAGTTTAGGATGAAAAAAAATTCAATTTGACTCAATATAATATTATAATCATCTCTTATATATTAAGGGAAAATCACAATATTTTTTGTATTATTTTTATTTTCAATTAGATTCTTTTCTTTTAATAAATATGAATTATATATATATATAGAGAGAGAGAGGTCAGGTCGGGTCGGGTTGGTGGATCCCTTCTAAATTGGGATTGGGTTTATTACCGGTGAAGGGGTTTAATTTTTCTAGTTGGATTTGAATGAGTAAAAAATCTAACTAAACTCGATCCATTGATCATCCTTAGATGTTATAGTTATTATCTTAGGAGTGTATAAAATATTCTGTACTTGTATTTTGAATTTTTTTTATAATTATGTTTACACTTTCAACAATCCATGAATTAGGGACAGTGTAGATGAAAATTTAGGGATAAGCTCATTTATTCATTGCACAAAGGGTTGGCGAAATCAGTGTTTAAACGAAACAAACACATATTAGAGTCCCCTCTTCTCTTCCCAGCTATAATAAAGACTTTGAATCAGACTTTTTCAACGTTTAAGCTTCTAAGCAGTTGGATGGTTTTCTCTGCCTTAATATGATTGGTTTTAAATAACAAAATTCATTAAAACAAAAGGTAAAATTTGTCAAAATCAAAATCAACTTCAAAGGTATCGTGGCGTGTTGAATTCGTTGCATCTACTTCTTAATCAACGACCTGCTCCTTCTCTTTGTTTCTAAACCTAAATCAATTTTACTTTTAAATTGCATTTACACGTTCAATTAAAACGTAATTGGAACGGAACCCAACCTTGCCAAAACTTCAACGAACAATCCTTCTTATCATATAAGCCCCATAAGCTGCTCGACAGCCACCAACAATTGTAACACATTGTTTATTCATTTATATATTTGTTGGTTTAATAGAAACGTACTAGATGGTAGTATGAAGATAAGAGAGAAAAGAACAGAAAGAGATGACCAACAATGTGTGGGATTGAAGATTCTCATATTTAGTATTGTTTGTTGAGAGTATATATATCATGACACCAGGCATTATGGTAGCTAGTGTCTGTTATAGGGTTGATGGCTATTGATGGATTGGGAAGTGGATATATTCGAATTTTAAATAATAAATTTAATTGGTGATGGAATTAACATCCGTTATATCGTAGGGTTTATGGTTATTGATGGCTCGGAACCCTTAGTGTGGAAAAAAGTAATTCAAGTATACGTAAGAATGACATGTTAATATCATATATAAAATTTTTGAATTAATAAATATCATATATTCATAAAAAATTGAACATGTTAATAATTTATATGATATTCATATTTAAATTTATGGAATTTAATTAAATATTTTAATTTAAATTAGCTTGAACTGACAAACTGTAGAATAGATAAATTTTCTCCATATTTTTAGAAAAGGGAGTGCTTTGTCATGGCACTTTTTCAAAGAGAGGTAAGCTCTTTTTCCTGCATGAAATAATGTAGGATTGAGAGTTATAATGAGAAGGAAAAAAAGAGGAAATTCTTTGTTGAAAACTAAAGACCAATTCAAATACAAGAATATTCATTGCAGGCAAAACATTAACAAAAGTAAAAAGGGAAATTCTCCATCATAGAAAATGATCAATCGAATAAATCAACGAGTAAAGTCATCGGTGGCTATACTTGAAGGGGATTTCAGTTATATATATATATTCGGATCATGTTATCATATTCTTTCATATAATTGTATGTTATCATATTATTGATTTGAATTAAGAATAAAAAATCAAGATCAAATAGGTTCTCAAGTTAGAAAATGTTTTCAACTTTCTGTCTTTTGGACAAGTATTTTACATTACAGGCTCTCCTATTACATCAAAACTATTTTCAACAATAGAAGAACCCAGAAAAACTGAAATTATATTCTCTTAATCTAACCCTCTTTAAAACCCAGAAAACTGAAATCAACATTCTCTTAATCTAACACTCTTCTGGGATACTATCAAGCAATGAATTAGTAGCAGGGAAAGCAGAGACAACAGTCACACGATTCATTGGGAGTTTCACAAGCTCACAAGCAACATCTTTGAATTCAATAATCCTTCCATCTTTGCACTTTGAAAGCAATCGAGCAGCTTCTTCCTTCGTCATCTTCACTTTTACTCTCATCTTTGGATTCTTCTCATCACCCTTAACTGATACCAATGGTTTTGTACTTGAAAACCGATCACCATGATAACTCTTTTGATTGCTTCCTGCCTTCTTCTTACTCAACTCATCTCTGTATATCAACTTTGATGAACTCTTGGATTCTCCAGATTCATGATTTCACCAGACAAAAGTTTACAGAACATGCAGCAATGAAAGTAAGCATCTTTGAGTGGCAAACAATCTAAAAAGAGGGTCTTTGTTTTTTACACTTTTTTGTACTGGTAAAGCAAATGTTGGTGAGTTTATAGAAAGAAGGCTAGGAGGATTGGTAAGTGGAGTGTCTTTTGGGCAAAGTGTGATTCTCGAAGGAAATAACAAGTTAGGGAAGATGAGTCAAGTGCACAGATTTGGAATTTAGCCCTTAAGAAAGGGTGTTAAAATGGTTGAGTCACCGATTATTAAAAATTATAAAATAGTCACTCGATTATTTATATTTTAAATTCATCTTTTTTTTGTTAATAAATTAATGGCCGATTAAGCTGGACGTTAATCTGCTTATTGAGATATAATAAAATTGTATTTTAATAATGTCTACTGATACCGTTATTGCTTCCAAGCACTAACTCGTGACATAATGTAAACGGGAAGTCAATGTACAAAATACATCTCAAACGGTTCAAAAATCAAATTTTATCATCTCACACGATCACTAATTTTTTAACAAAAAAAGACGAATTTAAAATATATGACTAGTCAGATGATCATTTTATAAACCTCGTAACACTCACAAATTAGATGAACAACATAGTCATACACTTTGCACAATATCATACAATGAAAGACATACTACAAACATTAATATGTACCAAATGACTTAAGTAGTTAAGCTATTTGTTGTTATCCCTTGAGGTCCTTATGTTTGAACATAACGCATGTAAAGATATTAATTTTCATTGTCAAATGATCATAAATCATTAAATAATATTATCTTATATTCATCCTTAATCTATGAAAAATATATATACAAACATTAGATTAGAAAACCTTAATAATAACACTCCTGGAAATCAACATACATAGAATAATAATTTATATAGAATACAGTTAGCAATCAATTTTTTTTAAAAAAAAATTTGGAGGTTAAAAGGTAAAGCTAGGGGTTTAAATGAGCCGAGACGAGCTCGAGTATTGCTGAACTCGACTCGACTCAAGAACTCTGAATGAAGCTCGACTCGACTCAAAATTCGCGAGCTTAAAATTTTCAAGCTCGACTCGAACTCGAAATCCTGAACTGAAGTTCGTGAGCATCTCGAAAATGCTCGAAATGAAAAAAAAATCTTAAACTTAACTCGATTGAAGCCTTAAACTCAACTCGAACATGAACCTTAAATACATGAAATCTTACTGTATTTTAAAAAAATCAATACATAAATATTAATATTATTAATAATTTATTTAAAAAAATAAATCTTAATATATATATCTTCGAGCTGCTCACGAGTTTTTCGAGTCAAATATCGAGTAAATCGTTTCGGCTCGTTAAGAAAAACTCGACTCAAGTCCATTCGATATGAGTATTTATCGAATCTTAATCGAGTCAACCTCAAATACCTCACGATCGATCTCGTCTCTTTTATAGTACTTGGTAAAGTTGTTCCCCTGCCACATCATCAATTACCTCATTGTCTAAGAAAAATAAATAAATAATATTTTTGAATAATTAGAAATGTAGAAAAGGATAATGTAAAGATGAGGACCAGTTGCGAGCTGACTTGGTCTTGCTATTTGATGTGCTTAGATTTAAAAAACGCGTATTGTCAGTGCTGTTTGGCTTAGGGTCTAAACATCTCATACAACAACAACAACACGTCTTTAAATTAAGGGTAAACTACACGGGAGACCACCAAACTATAGTCATTAATCAATCTTATCACTGAATTATTTTTTGTCTCAATTCGACCACCAAACTTTTAAATTGATTCAATCAGACCACTCTACGTTAAAAAAATAACAGAGAGTCCGACGTGTACGTTAATAAATTGGCATAATTATACATTTGGTCCTTAGTATTTACATATTCTATCAATTTAGTCATTATTTTAATTCAATTAAATAAATTTAACTATCCAATTAAAATGTGACACGTGTCAATATATAATTGGAAGAATTTAATTATGAATTTCAAATTATTTAATTAAATAATTTTTTTATCCAATCAGATGGTGACATGTGTCACCACCAAATGGATGTGAAAATTAAAAAGACCAACTTGTGCCCAAGGTGAATCAATCCAGGGTATATAAAGCTTCTAAACGCCAAATTATTGGGCCAAAGGTCCCCAATGGTTTAAAGTTACAACAAGTTTTATTTGACTTGTAAAAGTTTGTTAAGGATAAAACCTTAAACAAATCATTTGTTGAAAAAAATTATTATTTAATTAAAAAAATTATTCACGACTAATATTTTTCAAATAAATTTTGGTTCAATTAACGGTTAAAGAAAAAATTCGGTTAATTGAACCAAAATTTATCTGAAAATTATTAACCGAACTAAATTAATTTGAAATTATTAAATAAACTGAATTAACCGATTTTTAATTATTAATTGAATTAATCGAAGCAAAGGTTCAGTTAATTCGGCTCGGTTAATCGAACCAAAATTTATTTGAAAATTATTAACCGAACCGAATTAATCAAAATTTTTTAATTATTAATCAAAGCAAAAATTTGGTTAATTGGGTTCGGTTAATCGAACCAAAATTTATTTGAAAATTATTAACCGTACCGAATTAATTTGAAAATTATTAACCGAATCGAATTAATCAGTTTTTTAATTATTAATCGAAGCAAAAATTTGGTTAATTCGGCTCGGTTAATCGAACCAAAATTTATTTGAAAATTATTAACCGAACCGAATTAATTTGAAAATTATTAACCGAATTTTTTTAATTTTTAATCGGAACAAAATTCGGTTAATTGATTTCGGTTAATCGAACCAAAATTTATTTGAAAATTATTAACTGAACCGAATTAATTTGAAAATTATTAACCGAACTGAATTAAACGGTTTTTTTAAACCATTAATCGAACCGAAAATTATTTGAAAATTATTAACCGAACCGAACAAATTTCGTTTAATTCGGTCAATTTTTGAATTAACGAAATTTTTTTAATATTTTCTAATTTATATAAAAATCAAATATTTTTAATTCAAATAAACAGTTTATAATTAATTTAATAATAATTTGTTTAAGCAAATAATTTGTTTAAGATTTTATCATTAACAAACTTTTTCAAGTCAAATAAACTTGTTGTAACTTTAAATAATTGGAGACCTTTGGCCCAATGGTTTTGTAGCCTGGAAGCTTTATCTCTAATACCTTGGATCGATTCACCTTGGGCACAAGTTGGTTTTTTTAATTTTCACATCCATTGGGTGGTGACACGTGTCACCACCTGATTGGATATAAAAATTATTTGATTAAATAATTTAAAATTCATAAATAAAATCTTCCAATCATATATTGACACGTGTCATATTTTAATTGGATAGTTAAATTTATTTAATTGAATTAAAATAGTGACTAAATTGATAGAATATGTAAATATTAAGGACCAAATGTATAATAATGCCAATATTAAGGATCAAATATATAATTATGCCAATTTATTAACGGACACGTCGAACTCTCCGTTTTTTTTAACGGAGAGTGGTCTGATTGAATCAATTAAAAAGTTTGGTGGTCGAATTGAGACAAAAAATAGTTTGGTAGTAAGATTGATTAATGATCATAGTTTGGTGGTCTCCCGTGTAGTTAACCCTTAAATTAATTCACACAATTAAAAATGAATAAAATTTGAATTATTTGAATAATTTTAGTGATTAAAGAAAATATTTTTTAATTTTTGGATTTGAGATGTTGCTTTATATATTGTCAATGACTAAGAAAGATTATAAATAAATATTATCTTATAATAAACTCATACTATAGTCTTTTGACTAAAGGATGATGCTTTGTTGAATCCGACTATTATAAGTTACAAAAAAATCTCTTAACTATAGGTTACTCCTTTGTTAAGTTCATTAACTATTAAAAGTTGGGTAAACTACATCATTCCTCAGTGAACTTTACTCTCTCTACTATTTCACTCATTATACTTTCAATTTTTTTATAATTATTGAACTTTCGAATTGTTCCTATTTTTGTCACTAAAAATTATATTATTATTATTATTATTATTATTATTCTATGATATGATATTTATTATTATTATTAAAAAGAATTTAAAATAAGTAATAAAATAATATTTTCACTTTTCCATTATCTGCAACATCACCACCTTCCCTTCTCATTACCGTCGGCCATCGAAATCGGAAACCGTTTGATCTCAAATTATCGAGAGACTCATTTTGACACGTTGAGTCCAAAACTGGTGGTTGTTTCATCAGAAAATGTCCAAAATTCGTGTATCTTGATTGAAACATCATGATTTCCTCATTTTCGATATCCTATTCGTGGACTTCGTAGCATGTTCCAAAAAAATAGAGGTCAAATTCAGACTTTGAGGGTCGAGGCAAAGCGACCCATGAAATATGGGACCGAACAGACACCATCTAGGGCGATTGACGGCGGCTGATGTTTCAATTTTCTCACTTTTGATCAGATTCAAAGCATTTTCTGACAAAATAGAGGTCGAATTTAGACTCAATGGGTCAAGAAGAAGCGACTGATTAGATCTGGGACTAAACAACCACCATCTACAGCTGTCGACGGTGACGTCCAACATCAGCAAACAGTGGACGACCACCATATGCTTTTATTTATATTTTAAATTATTTTTATATTAAATAATAATAAAAATGCCACATCGTACCAAAATAATAATAAAATAATTCAGAATGACAAAAAATGAGCAATTCGAAAGTTCATTGAGTAAGTTGGAAAAATTAAAAGTATTATGAGTGAAATAAGAGAGAGAGTAAAGTTCAGTGAGGAATGGTGCAGTCTACCTATAAAAGTTATAAAATGGTTACCTTAGTATTCATATGTTTCAAACTCATTATTTTTCGTTAAAAAAATTGATGGTTGTCTGAGTTGGATATTAACCCGTTGACTTTGATATGATAAAATTTGATCTCATATTTGTTTGAGTTGTATTTTATGGATGGGTTTTGATATCATTTTTATTATATCTCATTCAATAGGTTAACGTTCAGCTCACAACTATCATTTTTTTAACAGAAAATGACGAGTCTAGAACTTAGTAATAGTTAGATGACTATTTTGTAACTTCTAATAGTCGAGGGACTTAACAAAAATAACCCTAGTTGAAGGATCATTTTGTAAATTTTAATAGTCAAATATCATTTTATAATTGTTAATAGTCGGGGGACCATTTGTATACTTTACCCTTATTTTTATCATAATCTAATATCAAACCTTTTTATGTGCATAATATGTGATTTTGTTCGTTTGATAAATCTCAAAATGTATGGATTAGTAAAGCAATATTTACTTATATGATAACTTTCCCCAAATCTTCAACCGGTACTCTTCATTTTCTCCCTTTTGACATAGCCATTTATCCCTGTATTATTTCCTCTTTTTCTTATTTTGATTTCTTAATGCAACTACTGAATCCCATTCTTCTGTTTTCATCTAGTTTACAGCTTTTCGGATTTGAAAACAGAGGTCACATTTGTTCTGAAATCTGTTGGCTGATCAGAGCATTGAATGATATAATGTGCAATGGGTGTTGATCAGTACTTTTAAATCAAATAAAAAATTGCACATTCTGGATTGCAGCTTCAAGCTTCAACAATTTATTCATTCTATTAGACATATCTTTTAAAAAGAGAATAATTATCATGTGTCAACTGATATTACACACTCTATTGGACATATGGTGTCAGGTGATATGGGGACGATCTTTCTATTATTCGATTTTACGTTTCTCTAATATTTTCAGGGTTCTAATGGAATCAAAAACTGCTTCTTACCATTTCATACATTACAGAGTTTGAGACAGAAATCAAATGGAATCATCTGTTTGGATCCTTCTTCTCTAACATAGCTTCAAGAACAACAGACTTCGGGTTCTTCATCGGAGGGCCTTTTTCTCTGCGTTCAAGTTCTTCAAGGCGAAACGTGACCAATCTGTCCCAGTTTCCGCCTTCGAAAAGAACCCCAGCCTTTCCATCAGTGATCCGCTGCACAATGCCGCAATACATGTAGAACGGGTTGTTCGGATTCTTCACAATCGCGATCATTCCGGCATTAACAGCGGCAACTCCGGCGATTTCGGCTTGGCAGGCCTACCAATACTTACTGAACCCGAAACTGACTGCTTTGCCGGCGGAGGGTTTTCTTCAATGAACTTTTGCAGGCCCTTTTCACCACCGGGAACCCTCCGGTTAACCCCATCATCTCCTTCTCGAAACCATCTTCTGGAACTGAGACCGGTGAACTGCTAGAGCTTTCAACATCCGTGCTACCATCTGATGACGTTTCGTCCAACGTTTCTCTTGAGCTCAACTTCAATACCTTTTTCTCCATTGCAGAGTCCCTGCCTCCCAGGATTTCAAATAGATCAAACTTGGCATAAAAGGCTTTTTTAGGCTTTTGGTAACCGGGAAAGATGACTTATGAGGACGATGAGTATGGGTTTTCCCAGAACTGAGAT